CCTCATCTCGGCCCATTCTTTTGATTCATCCCATCCCCGGTGCTAACCTCATCTCGTCCTCCGTGTCATCTCATGTCACCCTTCGTCCCCTTCTCCGTTTCCTCTCATCCCATTCTCCATCTTCTCTCCCCCATCCTCCCTCTTCCCAATCCAAGCCGTCTCATCTTCTTTTTACCCTTCATCCCATCTCATATCCGCTTTCATCTCATCTCATTCTCCGCTCCTCCGCCATCCCTTGCTCCATTTCAATCCCAGATCCAATAATCTCCTCCTCCTCCTCCCATTTCCTCACTTACGGAGACATATGCTCGGGCCTTGGTGCCGTTTAGGGCGAGCTCCAGAGGCGAGTCCTTGTTGAAGATGGCGAAGAGGCGTTTGGACCAGAAGGAGGGGATGAAGTCCTTGTACTGGAGCCCCCAGTAGATGTTGAACACCCTGTGGAGGTCCAGAGCCAGACAGCTGCAGTTGTACACCAACACACCCAGCTCCTTCCTCTGGTGAGCACAATCACACACCACGCGTGCTTGTGTCCATGGGGATCATATTCAGGCGCTAAAGCAACTGCAAAATCACGTGCAAGAAATGAGCTTTTTTCAGGCGTAACGTTTGGGGACCGGCGCTTAGCTTCACGGCCGGTTTTAAAATCTTTCAAATCATTGCGACCATCGCATCCATCGGACCGCCCTTCGTTCATCCGGTTTTTCACCCAAGATCAGAACATTTGAGCACGCCGGAGAGTGCGCTGTGCGTATTCCATACTGTGGCCAAGGATCTCCAGTCCATGCTGCCGCTGCCGACGTAGAAGTGTCTCCTGTCCACCACCCAGAAGGACGAGTGGAGGCGACCTTTGGTCAGCGCCGTCGTGTTCACGTAGTGCACCTCGGCGCCTGCAAACGCACGGAGGAAGTCAGAGAAGGTGGACAGCGAATTCCCCGGGCCCCGCGGCAAAGTGCCAAGAGCCCCTACGAGAGAGACGTTGCCGTGAGAGCAAAGGCGTCCCCGTCCCCATTGCGACTGTAAGCGAGTTTGTGAACTGCTGCAAGTGGGGCAGGGACGATGCAACCCGAGAGGACATCTGCGCCGAGACGGCCCCCCCGCCAGAACTTAAACGCTGACCGTGTGCGGCGAGCGTCTTGAGCTCCGCCGAGTCCACGATCCCGCTTGAGACCTTGAGCTGGATTTTCTGGGACTTGAGCGCCTGCAGCCTGGACAGCAGAAGTCCGCCCTGTGTGGCAGACACACATGCAAAAATACTGGCCCCGGTTGCTTGTTCGAGATTTAATCAGGGTACACGCTAACCAAGTGTTAACAGCATCTGAACTTCTTTTTTAAAATGCGACAGACCCCACATATGACGAGGAAGAAGAAAAAAAGAGCAACAGGTCCATGGTAGTACCAAGACCGACCTGTGAGAGGCGGCGAGGTGCCATGGGGAAGCATGACTGCCAGATAAAGAAGAAGACTTGTAGAAGACGAATGAGAAGAACTTTGGCAAATTGTTGCCTCGTCTATGGTTTGCAAATTTTTCTCCTGATCATTTTTATTGCAGTTATGGTCAGCAACACGCCGTTGCTCGTTTGTTGTGTCCGACACCGGCGCCAGCTTCGGCCTGACGCTTTTATGATCGGCGAGCCTCAGTTTCAATCACAATTCGTGGCTCGGCCCGACCGACTTCACATGAGAATTTGTCTTTGTCGATGTCAAACAGATTTCCCATGAACGATTGTTTGCAAGTGTTTTCCGATCTGACTGAGGAGGGGAAAAAAATCCCTTTTAACACGTCCCACGCCGCAGAATAATTTCGAGACATGCGATCATCAGGACTTTGCTGACTTTGATCTCAATGGAGAGAAAATGCTCCAGATTGGTGAGATTGTCGTAAGTACCTCGCTGAATCTGCACACATTTCGGGAATTTTGCAACCCTAACAGTTGAGAAAAAAAATCCCTTTTAACACGTCCCACGCCGCAGAATAATTTCGAGACATGCGATCATCAGGACTTTGCTGACTTTGATCTCAATGGAGAGAAAATGCTCCAGATTGGTGAGATTGTCGTAAGTACCTCGCTGAATCTGCACACATTTCGGGAATTTTGCAACCCTAACAGTTGAGTTAATGCAGCTCATTAATCAGCAAAACGGTTGCCGACGTGTACCTACACACACACACACACACACTTCCACGCAGCTGTGGTGCTAGAGGCTAAAAGGCCATTTGCTTTTCTTGTTGTGAAGCCTCTGAGGAGGAGCCATTACCTTCTCATCTAATGAACAGCCTTTTTGGACGGGTGCGTGCGTCAGAAGCTTTCGAGCCAAGTCGAGATCGGTTCGTCAGATCGCAAACCCGAAATGAGGAGCGCATTTAATGCAGCCGCAACAGCTGTGGATACTTCCATCTCGCGTGAGAATGACCTTGGAAATTGTCCAAATTGGAAGCATTCGGGAAATTGAGCGTGAGCCGAGCTCACCGAACCGGAGACGAAATGTCGACCCGATGATGGCTCAATTCGAATAAGTCGAGCCCGATAGCTTTTGTACCTGTCTCGCCGCTGGCTGTAAGCTGGACTCGTATTCGGAGGAGTTGAGGAGCCACAGCGGCGAAACGATCTCCACCACGCGGACGGCCCGATCCAGGAGGCCGAAAAGCCCCGCCGAGAGCGGGAGGTGGGACGCGGTGCTGTTGGAGAAGGAGACGTCTTCCGGGATGTTCTCCACCACAACGGCTCTGAGGAAGCAATCGCCAAGAGGTCACGCCCGTGGAAAATTCATCCCGAGTCGTTTGCTCGCGTGTGTTCCGTCTCCAGCGGAGACGATTCACAAACAAATGAGACAAATTAGCGGGAAACATCAACGTATCTCCACATCTCTTCCGCCGGGAAAGGCGATGACACATCATCAGCGGATGATTTTACGCCGCGTCAGGAAAAACGGACAAACAAGGTGCGACCGCATAACAACACCGGCCCGAGCTTGATTCCAGATGATGTCACATTAGAGGTGCGTCGACCGTTCATGAAGAAAAACGATTGCCGGCCTCCATTTATACCGACGGGAGGCGAGCGGGAGGCGCTGAGACGTGCAGATTGTTCCGGCGCCCCAGCGGGGGGAACAAATTGATGATGCAGTACAGCAGAAGCTAATTGAGCTCACGCCTGCAGGCAAATGCGGAGGAGTCGCGACCAATCCCGAGCAATGTGGCGCCCTCTTGTCACCCTTGCTGGCACGCGTGACGTTTCCACCCCAGTTTGATCTACAAACGGGACGCCAGACCATCGCCACACACACACACACACACACACACACACACACACACACACACACACACACACACACACACACACACACACACACACACCGAGTCACCTAAAGACAACACAGAGTGGCGTCCAGATCCCTGCGCTCAATGTCCCCGTCCTTGACAGGCCTCTCGACAGTCCGCAGCTGCACTGGGCGGCCGCCAAATGGAACGTCTGCACTCGGCGGCGTTCATGAGGTGTTAAAAGCAACACGGGAGATTTGGGCCTCCTTTTTGCACGGCAGCTCGGAGAGCAAGAGTAACCGCCAGACGCGTTTGACAGCGTCTCGTAGGGTCCAACTCAGCGCAATGTCCCAAGCAATGCGCGCTCAGAAGGGGATTGGGTTGCACTGCAGAGGAGGGGCAAAATTCAAGGAAACGACCTCTGCACTGTGAGGCACATCCGCCTCACAGTGCAGAGGGCGTGGTTTAGATTCCGCTGTGGAGTTTGCATGTTCTCCCCGTGCCGACGTGGCTTTTCTCCGGGTACTCCGCTTTCCTCCCACATTCCCAAAACATGCACGGCAGGTTTATGGAACCGGTTCAGGGTGTCCCCCTCCCCGCCGACTGCCCAAAGACAGCTGGGAGAGGCTTCGGCATGCCTCCGACTCTCGTGAGGATAAAGCAACTCAGATCATGGATGGATGAATTCAAAATGCAAAGACATGTCGGCCTCCCACCTGCAGTCCCGGCTGCAGTTGTCCTCCGTGATGCCGTCCTCGTCCTCGCCCCAAATGTCCACGGCCGAGAAGATGAGCGCCACAAGCACGGCGAAGCAGCACAGCAGGGCAAAGACCACGATGCACTTTTGCTGAGACTAAGAAAAAAAAAAAAAGACAAAAGACAACATTGATTTTCCAGGCTGCTTTTCGCAATTCAAAAAGAAAAGAGAGGCCGAAGTGCCTTAACCTTGACTTCCACGAGTCAGACTCCAGATTGAAAGCACGGCTCAGCCTGGTCACACAATAACACGGACGCGCGCTTGCTTCACACCAAAAGAACACGAAGCTCAGCGAGGAATCCGACCACGGGACGTCCTAACTGCTGCACACGTGATCAACTGGAAATCCTTTTTAAGGGTGGACACTTCCCGTCGAGGACCCAAGGATGATTCGTGGGAAGTAAAAGCAGATTTTCAAGTGCATCAGTTGAACAATTCTCGATCAAAAATGCCGCTTCATCTAAATACTTTTTGGGTTCGTGTTCTAGAATGAGCACACTTTGTTCCTGTAAATTCCCCGATGACGTCAGCATTTTTTTTCCCCGTTCTCTGCTCGGTTGGCCGCAGCAAAACCCGTGACGGCCGTCCACGAAGCAAAGCGACTCATCGTTAACGTCTATAAATCTTGATTCTCTCTGTGCCAGATATCCGTGGCGCAGTTGCGTGTCGTTGTCTCGTATGGATGGTCTTGAGAGGTGCATTCACTGAAGGCCCGTCCGTGTTCGCAAATGGACACTTTTAGTTCCGAGGCTGTCAGTTGGTCTCCCCGCACATCCCGCCTGCTTGTTCTTTTGGATTTGACCTTCCCCGCCAGCCATCTGCAAGCTTCCCGCTGGCGAGCGCAGCAACCTTGCTCGCCCTTTGGCTTCCCCAAAAATAGTGAAGTGAAGAAACGATGCATTTCTGCACATTAAAGCCTGATAAATGTGTCAGAGGTCCAATTATAGTGCAGTACTGCTGGGGGCTGAGGAAGGCGCTGGGGTGGGGGTGGGGGGGCGCTGACTGATTTTACAGCACAACACGAGTCGAAACAACAATGCGCTGCTTTTAAAATGAGGCACATTTGTCCAAGCTTGCAGCGAAAGCACAGCATCGCTTCCACAACAGTTTCGGCAACGCACGGTACGGACTCACTTCAAAGGATGGATACAGTCCACGATTAGTTAAGGGGATGTGATCTCACAAAAATCCATTCTTATTTCTAAGTATTCATCCTGTATTCGGCTGGGATGTCAAAAGTCAGTATTTGCCTTCATTTGAGATAGTTCTATGAAATGAAGGTGCACCCACTTCCGTTTTTTATGGCAAATTCTCCAATTTGTGGCCAATATCCAAGTGTTTCCAAAACTTTAAGGCACATATATTACAGTCGAAAAATCTCACAGAAAACCAACAAACAAAAATGGAGGAGAAGGGGCAGTAAAACAGGCCAAAATTTCAAACGTCAGCGGTTGAGGGAGGCCAAGAGACGAGTTACATACTCGTCTCTTGCTCCGTGTAGTGAAAAGAAATGCCACACCCCAAGTGAAGCGTGACCTTAACAATTTTGCCAAACTTTAGTATGAGTATTCCCCCTACCCCCGCCCCGCACCCTGCACCCCTCACACACTCACATACCCACACACACAAACACAAAACACATCCACAAAATAACTTCACTCCCAGAAGTGCACGTTGAGTGACAGGAAAACAACATCACAGAATGCTGTCAAGCATGTAATTTGCTGACGAGATATATTGTGTGTGCGTGTGTGTGTGTGTGTGCGTGTGTGTGTGTGTGTGTGTGCGCGGGCGTGTGTGTGTGTGTGTGCATGCTGGCATTGCGGTTCACTCCCAATAAATTATTTTCTCTGTGCATTTGAATCACGTTTGTCTCTGTTTTGCGTCTCGAAGAATGCCCGCGTCCTATCTCCAATCTTCTCTTCTCTCCTGCATACATGAAATCACGCACGCGACCAATTTAAGCAAATAAAAGTCCAATACAAAGCAGCATTTTCATCTTCTCTCGGCGTACCGAATTTCAGTTTTTCACTTCCTGAAGGGTGGCTGTTCCATTCGATTGAACCGGAATTATGATATCTGCGACGCGTCCGTGATTAGCTTGGGGCACTTCAGACTCTCATTGCTGCTGCTGCTGCTGCTGCGGCTGCTGCTGAGGAAATGAAATGAAATGTGTGTGTGTGTGTGTGTGCGCGCGTTCGCGTATGTGTCTGTCTGCAATACTCAGCTGTAGAAAGGCTCAGTGGGCACTCAGGTGATGGACATGCAAAGGAAAGCAGACCGACACAGTGAATATTGAGCCGCGGCTGGATAAAACTCTCTCTGGCAGGACGGGACGATCACCTGTCGACGCTGCGTTTGGCCTGTTACCTTGCGGGGACTTTACACACTCGTGTTGGTGCAGTGTGAAAAGCTTCCTAGCTGCCGCGCGAGGCTAAGCTAGCTCAGCGGCTTCAGGTTGCTGGCCTCGTGTACACCAGACTGCAAAGTGGTTCCATTTCCCAATGGTTTTATTTCAATGTGGCACTCTAACAAGCAGCCGCCGGGCGACCTCAGCAGAGGTCATCTTTTCATGTCGTTCTCCGACAGTCGGAAGAGGCATCCCGAGCGTTCTGGCCTTCCTCAAGCACACTCGCGGCTGCTTTACAAGAGGAAGTGGCCATACGGCGTGTTTACAGAGATGTTCGATGGTCCGACGAGTCCGACGGCGTGACGCTGTTTACAAAGCGGCTGACGATGAAGTTCAGTCAGCGTCTGGACCGCGGCCCGTTTTCCACCTCTGCCTAATGTGATCAAACTGTCGTCTTTCCTGGCGTGACACGGTGAGCACATCTGCGTTCAAGTCTGGAATCGGCGACGCCCGCTTCGAGCCTATATGATGACTTTGGAATATTTTCCACTGTAAATCACAGCTCGGTTCGGAGCTCGTCCGCTATCTTTTTTGTTTCTCGTCTGCCTTGTCCAGGCCGACTTTGTTCAAAGTCTTTTTGACTTCTCAAGAAAACGGGCCCGCTTTGATGCCAAGCGGTGCCGCTCCGCCCCCACTTTCAGCCGCTCTCTCTATGAGAAATCACATCTACAATTTGGCCCGTGACGAGATTGAGTTCTCTCCAAACAAAATCAATAGATCCCTGATAGAGCCGTGTCAACTGCAATGGGGCCTGAGCCCCACCGTAAACCCACCCGGTCACCCGAGTAGGACCGCAACGTTTATTTCAGCGTTGTTGCATCTGTGAAATACAACCAACCTGCCATTTTGCAACACTGACAAAATGACGCACTTGACAAAAAATGTGCTCGTGTCACTATCGAGATGTTGAGGTAAATCAGTCACACCACCAACCTGCAAAATGAACTAACAGCACATCAGTGACTGACTGGCGACCAATCGGCTGCGCTGGACTCCCGCTCCCTCGTGAGCCTCGTGAGGACAAGCGCCACGTTCAGAAAATGGAGGGATGACCTGCGATTGTGAGGCACTTGTAGCCACATAGGAGGCCAAACTCCCCGAAGCGCTGACTCTTGCGGAAGAGCAGCCCATGTTTTTGCCAACTCCTGCATTTTTCCCATGACGTTGGCAACAATGCCAGCAGGCGGTTGGATCACGTTCCTTCTAATGCAAACGGATGTTTAATTACCTCCACTCAGGCAATATACTGAAGGTGTGTGTCTGGGGGAAGGAAGGGAGGGGGTGTACCAGGGCTCGAAATAAGCGGATTTCCATCGCAGTCCATGAGGCTAAATCAGCATTTTGCGCCTCATCAAAACACATTGAACAGCAAAACTGAGAATGAATCGCCGAGACGCTCCCAAAAAGCTTCGCCGGAGCCCAAAGTAGGAAGCGGCAGTGCAGGCAAGCTCGAAGCTTGGTGCTACACAAGCTAGTGAACAAGGAGCTTCGGCAGCCTACTGCTGCTGCTTTTCAACGGGGTGCGTCGTCGCTCCGAGGTCATCGCCTGCGTGGCGGCGAATAAAGCGCACTTCACACAAGTATGGATGTGCCAAAGAAGAGCGCAAGGTGCAAGGTACCGCCTACAGTCCCTAAGATGCGATGGCAGGGACCAAACAACTCATTGGAAAATGACGGGGAAAATGGAGCTGAGATTCGAAGCCAGAAACTGCGAGGCAAACAGATGTGGCGAAACCACGAGGCTACTGTGCCACCCTGATGTGAAACATAAACATGCAAATTCATCTTTTTATGAGGTTGACTTGTAAAATTGTAGCTCGTTTGCTCCTTGCCTGAGGTGATTTGTGACCCCAAGGTATGAGTGTTTATGTGTGTGCGTGTGTTGCAGCCGCATCCAGAAATATGTCAAGACAAGCAATTTTCTCCACTCTTCGAGTCATGTCTATATATTTGATTTGTGACCCCCCCCCCGCCCCCCCCATAACTATTTCATGCCAGCAGTGCAGCGGTCGGGGTTCCGCTGAGTTTCTTCCACACTCGCGCTACACTAGAAGCAGCTCACAACAGCAGCGATCGCTTGATGTTGTAATTACGACCCTGGAAACGAAACGCCTCATCAGACTATAAATGTGTGAACATTAAAAACGAGACGGCGCAATGAGCAAATGCACGAGGCGTCTTTTTGAGGGAGGCGTTTATTTGTCTGAAAGGTCCCACGCCTCACTGGCAACGTAAGATGGTCGCCGGTGGCTTCACTTCTCTCAAAGTTAGTCCATTCATGAATACGTCTGTGGTTGGGAGTGGACGCCCCCCACCGCCAAGTGGATGCCCGGGATACCGCCCCCCTTTATCCTCCCCAACACACACACACACACACACACACACACACACACACACACACACACACACACACACACACACACACACACACACACACACACACACACACTTTGCATGCTACTAATGGGCCTTTTCCAGTAAGTTGCTCCAAACCGTTTGGGCCTTTTCCCAAATGTAAACACGCCTCCAGTAGACTTTGATCTTTAATATAGCTTGTGATGTATTTTTCAGATGGCCCAGGAGCCAGTCGTCTGGTTGCCATGGACACTGTTTCAGGTGTTTCAGGCGCCGCTCACTTCACTCTGCCAACTCCCGCATCTGTGTGTAGAATGTGTGTATGTCTACCACTGAGTAGCATTAAGGGTGTGCGTGTGTGTGTATATGTGTGTGCGCGAGCAGAATTACAAAAGGATCTTTCCCTCCTCTCTGTTCACCATCGCTATGACGACCCTTCTAGCAGACGGATGCCACGAACGGAGTGGACGCACTTGTGACGGCCAGTTCGACCCACAAGAGTTGTTGGCGTCGAGGATTGACCTCCGTGGGGTCGAGCTAGCCTTGAAACAGCACACAGAAGACGAGATGAGAAGGAAGAAGGACCACATTGACAAAGAGTTGCCCGCAAATGTTGCATCACTGATTTCAAATGGAAAGTCATCACATGACTTTTGACTTGTCTCAACCACAGCATAAAGTCATTTTTGTCAAGCATAGGAGGTGCCGTGTTTTTCTGCACTCTTGTGGTCAAATGAAGTGCCTGACAGCACAAGTATAACATTTACAACACGCACGCACACACGCACGCACACACAAAAACATCCTGATCAAAAAACACACGTATAAAAAAAAAAAACCTCTCAAAGACACCAAATTTAATCTCACGCACAGCAAAAATACTCTCACACTTGCAAAAAAAAACTAGTCAGGAAAAAAAAAAATCTGTCATACGTTCATACCACAAAACCTGTTGCTCACTAAAAATTCACCTGCACACCTAATGACCTCACACACACACACACACACACACACACACACACACACACACACACACACACACACACACACACACACACACACTCAATGACACAAAAAGCTCACTCACAAACCAAATGAAAACCCTCAAGCTCACACAAAAACCTCTCACACTTAAAAATTCACACTTCAAAAAAATTTCAGCCCCACGCCCTCCCAAAAAAACAAACAAATAAAAAAACGGTTATACACACACGTGGCCACAAAGAAATCTCTCGCGTTCGCCAAATACTCAGCCCATCAAAAAAGCTCTCATGTTCACACATTCTATACAAAAAGCAAAAAACTTGACCACGTTCCCATTTGAATTGTTTGTTGTCACTTAAACAACACTAGTAATCGGTCGGAATTCAAATCAGGAAGTCAACGCTTCCGGCCCTGCCGACTGAACATATCTTAGTAGTTTGTGGCGTTCCACAAGGTTCCATTCTCAGCCCCCTTTGCTTTATAAAATTGATCAATTCATTTTTGACTCCAGCTGATTCAAGGTCTCTCCATCATGTTCTTTCTGACAGCATGATCAATGAACATGAGTTCCAGCTGCACAATGGGATACGTTGCGAGGAAGTACAATGGACTTTCCGAAGCGACGTCCAGGGAATAACATTTTCCCACCTTGAAATAGAGGATGATAACAATCACCAATAAACAACAGCAAATTATTGGCTCACCCGTCGACAAATAGTCACTTGTTTGTCGGCAACGCAACTTTTCCACGATAATTCTCCTTTGTTCCTGGGACAAGAAGGTCCCGTTGCCCATCGGTTCCCCGTGGCCACACGTTTCCCTCCATGTCACCAAATGTAGCCGTACACAATCGGCGGGAATCGATGACGTACTTGCATTGATATGATAACTCACTTAGCAACGAGCATTACTGCCCCCTACAGGACCGGAGGCAACTTTTCTAGCGTCCCGTACTCTCGTGTACGCCAGCCGCAGGAACCGCGGAAGCACGCATGTTCCACTCACGTCGTTTGTAGCTCTCAAAGCTCACCTTCATGATGCGTCCCTCGCTCGCGGCTGATGAGAGGAAGTCTATCGCTATGGCTATCTATCTATCTGTGTCCACATCTGCCTACTTTCTTCATTTCTCCTTCCCTTGCGCCTCTTCTCGTGTCTCTGTCTGCGCATCGTGTTGGTGCACCTCTTTCTAACTCTCCCGCTTCCTCCTCCCATTCTTCCTCCCTCCATCCCTTCCTCCACCCTCAGCCTTCTCTCTCTCTCTCTCTCTCTCACACACTCTCCACCTCCTAATAGAAAGCTCACATTTCTCTCCCTTCTCCCTCATGGACGCTGGAAGTAGGAGGGAAAGGGAGAAAAAATAGAAGGTCTGGCTCATGCCTCCCTCTTGTCTCCTCTCATTGTATCCTTAGGAGTGTGCGTGCGTGCGTGTGCGTGTTGGGGCGTGCGTGCGCGCGTGCGTGTGCTGTGAATGTTCACATTTGCTCCCAAGTGCTGCCAAAGGTTGCAGGTGCAACATTTCCAAATGTTTTGCATTATCGAGCCTGGTGTTGGCACCGATTTCATCGCGTCAGCACAGACGTGTGCCCATCGCACGCACACGCACACGCACACACGCTCGAAGATATCCTGTTTCTTTCCGCTCTTCATGAAAGATGGTGAGCGCTGCTGTGTGGTATTTCAGACCCTTGAAATGCGTCCACATTGACTTTCAATTGCCGGGCAGATGCAGAGTGAAGTGGAGGCCGGTCCTTTTGGCAGCCGTGCACCTTCAGGAGGCGCTGTTGTGAAAAAAGACGCTGGCAATGGGACCGAGCAAAGCCGGTCAGCGAAACGTGAAATGCTGTATTAGGATGGGATGAAAAAAATTAATCAATTTTGTTTGTGAAAAAAATAGGATAAGACTTCATGTGATAACTTTTTGAATAGAATAAAACTTTTATCTCAAAACATTTTCCCACGGTCATGATTTCTTTATTTCTGAATGAATCATCTTAAGCTCAGATGTGACTTTCGTCTCTCGCGGTCTTTTAGTGACGTTTCCTGTATTCTGAAAGAATTTTGAACCGTGACGTCAGACATGAGCACGGTGAGCTTTCAACGTGTAGATCTTGACCCGTGGTTTTCTCTGGCTGACCAAAGGAGCATCATACTCAAGAGGCCGTTGAGGTGCCGCGAGAGACATCGAGATCGCCAAACAGACATCGTTATGTCAACTATCCCGTTATAAAAACGTTATACAATAATGTAATAGTGATGTACGGAGTAACGGATTCATAACTCAACTCAACCCGGCTGAATTTCCACAGCGCTTTCAAACAATCACCGCTGAAACAAAGTCCTGCGCGTGGAGCAGAAAGAAGTCATACAAGGACAGAGAAACGGAATGCAAAGTAGCAGACAAAAAACAAAATGGAATGGCACTCGTATTCGTAACATTTGGCCGTGGCTCCCTCTCCTGGACTTGTGGTCAGGAAGCTTCCTTTTTTTTTTTTTTCGTGAGTTTCCATTTGCAACTTTAACAGCCTGCTTCACGCTCATCTCTTTTTCGAATGGATTTCAAAATGTCATGCAAGCATATATGATACGATATTACCCGTCCATGCTCGGAGATCCATCAGTGCCACCAGGGTTTCTTTTTGTGTGGAAGATCACATAATGGAGCTCCTGAGAAGGCAAATTCATCACAGCAACTTTGTGGATGAACCCCAGTTCCCCCCCCACCATCAAATATTCAACGCGCAGCCTCCGTTTCAGGCCTTTTCTTCCGCCTGCCGGGCATTCGGAGCCGTCGTGCTGTTATTTACCGGCAATCGCCAAACCTCAGTGGATCTTAACCCTCCAAGCGGACCTGTTTGGAACTGAAGCAAGTTCGAATATTGCTTCCTGTCTTTCTGTGTGTGGAGTTTGGATGCTATTTGTCATCAAACGAAGAGAATTACAGGTTGTGTATTCAAAACAACCACGTAGCTTTGTCTTTTAAAAGTCCACCGTCAGCAAGCTAACAAATAGCAACCCTGCCGAGAGGACACTCTCAGGTCAGTCGGACGCAACACTGCAGACGGAAAATGTCACTAATACGCACAGACACATATCTGCGCCCACTGCAAAGAACCGTGAATGTTACGGCAGATTGCTGAGGAGTGACTGTCTCCGCGCATCTTCGTATGTCTGTGTCTTGCTGCCCCCTGGTGGCCAAGAAAAGCTCAACGCACGACTGTAAATGCAGCTTCTGGCCGTCACATCGATTTTTATTGTTGTTTTTTTTTTTTCGCCACCTCGCGCTTCGATTTTCTATCGGGGACTTGTGCACACTCAAGGCGCAACGGAAGCGGACCATCCAAAGGGAAGATGCTTTTTCAGGGGTTAGACATAGCCTGGCTTGCTAAGTGCCTGTTGTAAATGTCCCGCAAACCCGCTAATGTGACCACGGGACTCAAGTTCTTATCGAGAGGGGGCGTGGCCAGTCCTGTCGGACTCCAAGGTTGCGATCACTGGTGCCGTTTTAGCCACGCAACCCCAGAAATCGCACAACCAAAATTGTGGGAAAGAATTTCATGCTATGGGCTCTATTCTCGCCGAGAGCCCCTACGCACCCTGGCGCAAATGCCGGTGGATCCTGCTTTTGGTATCAGTGCAAGTCTTGTTGCTTTTGTTTGGCATTTTGGCAGAGCGCTCTCTGACAAGCTGGGCAGCAGAGGGAGTCTCTTGGAGATGCCACTGGCAAAGTGACAATTTGGTGGCAGGAAGTCGAGCTAAACCTTACGCCTGTCCATACCACGTCTAACAGCTCTGAAGAGTAGACCGCTGGTCTAATGCAACGTCATTTATTTATCAATATGTGAACAGTGGGCGTCAAACCATCTGACTCATTGTATTGTATTCTTTAGATCAGCCCACTGGGCATTTGATTGGCCATGACTGAAGTTTTCAGTGACCACTCCCACGGCGGCGCAGCCCTCCCTATCACAGATCCGCCAGCCTGCGCTCATCTGGAGCTACGCGTAGATCGATGTTTTCCGCAATTATCCTCAAACATGTGGAATGTATTTACAGAAACAATTTCTGAAGTCGCTTTACAATGGCTTCAAGACAAAACGTGGAAAAAACGCCCACCATTTCAAAAAAATAAATTTTCTTCATTGATAAATCTTTGCAACAACATCACACATTAACTCCAACAAACAGCCCCGCAGCAAACGTCAATTATAGAGCTTGTCCAAATCCACTATGAAACTGTCAACATTATTGATGGCGATGCCATCCCATGGGCTCCATTGTCCCGCACTTACATGTTCCAGTTTGTCCCTCCTGCGGAGCCAAACGCTGGCCGAGTAGTCCTGCTGCTGCACGGCCGAAATGACGCTGCTGGCCAGCATCCCGGCGGTTGGAGTCCCGGACCCGAACCCCTTCAGGTCCTGGCTGACCGCCGGTCCTCTGGGACCCCGCAGTTCCATGTTTGGAGCTGCCGGTCTACCTCCCTGAGCTCACGGGAGAATCCTGGCGTCAAGGTTGCCTTCAGCGTGGCACCTCCAAGAAGTGGTGCACAAAAAAAAAAAAAAAAAGTGGTCCTTCCAGGCAGAGGGCAATCCCAGGTCGGATCTGGACTGGAGACTGAGCTGGACTTTGTTTAGCTGAGCGCAACATCAGGCACGGTGATGAAATTTCAGTGAGGAATTCATCGTGTGATGAGGGGTGGGTGAGGTTCAGCGAGAGAGAGAGAGAGAGAGAGAGAGAGAGAGAGAGAGAGAGAGAGAGAGAGAGAGAGAGAGAGAGAGAGAGAGAGAGAGACTCCACCTTTATGTGCAGTAAACATAATCGGCCATTGATGAAAAATGGGCAGCAGAGACGGAATTTTAATGGCTGACATCCGTCGGCAATGCAATACATTGTCAAGAAGGATATCCCCACCATTTGTACATACAAAACATTCAATTTTCACTTGTTGGAATACGACAACCGTATAAAGTTGGTTGTACGAAGTGCTGCCTCCAAAAGTGAAAATGCTTCTGTTGCCTTCATAGGCACTGCACTTTTTCTCCACTGTGCCCTTGTTCAAGCCCCTCGCTCCGCCTCCGATCAACACTGTTTACATTTTAGTAAGCTCCATTACATTTAAAAAAAACAAAAAAAATTCCCAGGTTTGAGTCCATTCGGAGTACTGCATAGCTTTCTTTGAATCAATAATTCAATGAATACAATTCATTTTCCATTCCAACATGAGTCATGTTCGGGAGCATGGCCCCCATCCACTTGACAAAATTGTGCCTTCCTTGTTAATTCACTCCGCTCACATTTCTGCCGCCGCGCCTATCCAATCATTCAGCATGCGGGCTGAATACCGGATGAAGCTTGAACCTGAGCCAATTCAACCTAAAAGCAGGGGAGGAAAAAAATTGCTTCCATGCGACACGCAGATGCATCAACGAGATGAAAACCTCTGATCGCCCCGCTTTTATTGCCGCAGGAGTTAATCAAGTGTGCGCGCGCGTGCATGGGCATAACGTTGAAATTGAACCAGCAGCACACAGGTGATCACAAAGTCAATCTCCCGACAGATGGCATCTTATGAAAGCAGAACTTCAGATATGAGACGGGGGGTTTCAACATGTGATGTGATGAAAACAGTCAATCCCAGCACGTGTCCTCGACAGCCGAGAGTGTGTGTGTGTGCGTGTGTGTGTAAAGTGAACAACAAATGCAGTGATTGCCACTCCCTTGCTAAAGCTCAAAGTGAGCCGGAAATTCAGTGGATGGCGTTATTTTGGTATCATCAGGCAACACCGAATTGCAAATGTCAGCAGCATGGAATAAGGAAGCGTTTTGGGATGTAGTGGAGAATTTTCCCAAATGAGCTCTGATCAGAATCAGGTACCCTACACAGGTGGGCAAGGCTAAATTGCCAAGACTTTTGGCATGCCATTTGAATGTAGCATACGGATGAGAACATTTGTGATGTCAACCTGCATGACATCACAGATTATGTTTCCAGTGGGAGGCTCCACAGTATTTACAAACAAAATACAGATGACACAACTTATTTGATCAAGCTAATGTAGCGCCGACTTGAGATTCCACCTGGCACCAGTGCAGGGTCCCTGGTGGAGTGACTTCATATCCTTTTTGTCAGTTCGTCAAAATGCGCAATGTACGGTACGCAGTATTGTAAAACATCAACTTCCGATGCATGCAGTAGATCAAATGTCTTTGTGATGAAGAGCAGCAAGAGATGAGAGACAACTTACCCCCATCGCTCGCCGCTCGTGATGCTTCACAGCTTTCAGTGCAGAGAAGTGAGTGTCCCGGTGTTGGACACGCTCTAAATACTGCACAGCTTTGTGATAACCTTCAATCAGGAGGTTAATGGACATTCCGTCCTGACCAGGATTAAAGACTTAAGTGCCGCCGACAGAGTCATTACCGCAAACTCATCTTCGGAGATGATTTTGTTTCATTTTGTTACCCTCCTCATGTTTCTTAACCCTGCTGCGAAGAGTGAAAATCTCAGAGTAATTGACGCCCTCTAAAAAGAGTTTCAACTTTCTCTTGCTTTTTGACCCTCCAGCTCTCGCTTTCACAACCTCTCATCGGGGGTCATGTTGAGCTCTGACAAAACTGACACAAATGTATTTCCAACTACCCAAATCTGAGGTTTTGCTCACTTACTGGAGGACCCAAGATATATTTCCTCTGTGATGCCTCTGCACAATTTTTCTCACTCCCTTTCCCCACCGCAATGTCAGGTTCACGCGGAGCCTCAAAGCATGCACTGGAGCACCAACTTAATTAGACGCCTTTTCTTCCAGCGCCCTTTTACTTGCAGAAAGTACAAATCACCCCTTAAAGGAGGCATATCATTTTTTTTTTCACAATCGAAAACAGTGTCCATGTAGCTTAACATGTAAGTAACATGCTGTCCTGGAACTACCCAAGCATCAAGAATGACAGCATTTTACCCACTCCATTTCATGACTATCGAGCTATGCCTATTCTGTGCATCTGGCAAAGGACAATTCTCATTATCATTTTGGCTTTGATATGATAGCAGGGGGGCTCAAAGTATCGAGGCCGGCGTTTCGAATCAACGACCTCCCTATCTATTTTTGTAGAGAGACTGTCAAATAATTCGTATTTAAACAAGGCTTGAATAATACAAGGAATAAAACTAGGCTTTCGCGTATGTAAGTATGCTTGAAATGCACGTAAGATTAATCAAAACGCCTCAGGGTACCGACGAGGCCAATATGACAAGTTCTGTTTGGAAAATACACATTAGTGATACCCCGACAAACCGTAGGGGGCAGTGTGCTACTCCAATGCCAGCATAGCGACTGTCAAGGAGAGAAGAAGAACGTAACCCAGGCAAATATGGTGAACGACAAGGTCGGTAACTTTCAATAGGACCTCTTTGGTTGTATTTATCATAATTATTTGTCATTATTCTTGAGAAAAAAACTTCACGTTACATTTATCATAAGCCAAATAACAGTAGATTTTGCTGCCGACGTTTAGCAAGCTGGTTCGCGGTGGAGTGTAGCCTCACTAGCTACGTAAGCTACCACACGGGACACATTCAGCTGTTCGACTTTAGGAAATGAATGACTTGATCGCTTTCAGACTAAAGTTACTTGATGAGCGCTGCCACGTTTCAACTAAATATATATATAAATATAAATTTATGTGTATGTATGTAACGTGTGTACTGTGTGTTTAGAGTACTCTGGGCCAGCTGAAGGACCTGGTGGAGCTGAAGGATCAGCTGGAGGACATCCAGAAACGTATGGAAGATGAGATTCAGGCCGGGATTCCTGCTGTAAGTCTCCCCCATAGACTCCATAGAGCGAGAGTTCACACACTTTTTAGATACATGAAATACAGAGATGACATTTTCCACGGACCCGCCTGCCCCCATAATACAAAGGCCAGTTAAAAATACTAACTTTGACGTGCACGCCTGACAGCCATAAGGGTTATTCTGTTGACCCTAAGTAACATTTAATATTAACGTCCACATTTCACGTGGCTGATTTGACTCCCTGTCTCTTCTTCATATCGTACTTAGGGCGGCAGTCTACTGGGTTCTCCGTTCCTGAAGGGCTTTTTGGCCGGCTACGTGGTGGCCAGGTTCCGCTCGTCGGCACTTCTGGGCGCTGTGGTCGGGACATGCACAGGAATCTACGCGGCGCAGAACTATAAGATTCCCAATGTGGAGAACACGGTTAAGGACTACATCAACAGTCTGAAAGGAGGAAGCCGATGAGAAATGATGTTACGACTGTCTTGTACAGTCTATTCGTCTTGTACATGTGTTCTGCCTCCTGTAGTCTCCTGTAGTATCGGAAGCACTCCTTTGGGACTATATCAAACTTTATTGGTCTGTCAATGGCTTGTTTACTTATGCAGGGATATGTGTGTCTCCAGGTGTTGGTTTTAGGTCATCTTTTTTCTTTTGGAGGAAATGCTTGTAAATTCATTTTTGTCATTTCTGAAAGATTGACTCTAGAATGCATTCACTCACATTAAGAGTTTACTCTATGTGATCTGATAGTGCTGAAGTAAAAAATATTGCTGACATTCACAAAACTTGCACAAAAGTAAAAATAGAAGTGCCTTCTCTATTGTGCTGTGCAATAGCCTTCCCTCGTGGGATGTGTTTGCCCATTTTAATATGCTGGAAGTGTCCAACGTTGCACTTTTTGTTTGCCATTTTGACTCAAAAGTGTCAGAAAAATATTCGTGACTGGACCTCAGAATTATTCTGTTACATTTTTTGGTGTTTTGCATGATTGCCATCTATAATTTTTTTTAATAGGTTTTGTGAATTACTCCTGGAATCGTGACTGGACCTCAGAATTATTCTGTTACATTTTTTTGGTGTTTTGCATGATTGCCATCTAGAATTTTTTTTAAATAAGTTTTGTGAATTACTCCTGGAATGACTACATCTATTTCTTTATATTTTGTTGATCAGCTGGTTGACGGTGCTACATCTTACTCTGTTGTCTACAATTAAACGGGTAACAAGATCCTCAGTGTTTACACTTACGATTTGTATCTATTTCTTTATATTTTGTTGATCAGCTGGTTGATGGTGCTACATCTTACTCTGTTGTCTAAAATTAAACGGGTAACAAGATCCTCTCGTTGTGTTTACACTTATGATTTGTTTGAAAAGTCTATCTATCTATATCTATCTCTGTTGTCTACAATTAAACGGGTAACAAGATCCTCAGTGTTTACACTTACGATTTGTTTGAAAAGTCTCTCTCTCTCTCTCTCTCTCTCTCTCTCTCTCTCTCTCTCTATCGCCAGTTTTTACGACTGCTTTCTGCTCCCTTTCATGTATTGTCTCCTAAAGAATGAAATACAGTACTGTAAATTACAGGAAATGAATTGATGTGTTGCTATTTTCCGCCGCGCCGTTAGGGGGCGAGAGCGTGCGTTAAACGGACGACGCTTCCTGTTTTACTTGTTAGAAGAAGCTGGGGAGCACTTTGAAGTTTCTCTCCAACCGGTCAATTTGCCTCCAAAGTGATGTGAATTTTCTGCGAAATAAAGAGAAAGGCATATTCTCCCTCCCGTGAACGTTACGTTTAGCGAAAACGTAGAGTCCAAGTCGCCGTTTGCCGTCATGACAGTGTGACAGTGACGCGCCAAATTTGAAATGAGCTCGACTGACTAGCGAAGAACAGGAACCTAGCCTCGAACCAGCTAGCAAAATAAAAGACCACGTTGTGATATTTAGTCGGCGTCGTGTACACTGTCGTCAGTATCGGAAGACGTCATTATATTTAATCCTCCTCTCAGAGAAATGAGCCGAAGAGCAAGGACCACGGTCAACGTGAACTACGTGGATTTGGATTCAGACGAGGACAGGTAAACGTGTTATGGTTTTATGTTTATCTTTGGCTTTATTGGCCGGTAAGGTTTACGCTCTCTTCGCAGAGAAAAGTGTTTTGCGCACAGGCACAATGTTTAGTTCTTCGCGGTGTTTTCCAATCTTTATTGAGACAATTGGCTCGTCTGGAATAAATCTCAAGGCACACCAACAAATAAGTGTCAGAAGTCCTGGGTCGGTATAACTGCAGCAATGATTATACTCGTCTCCCGCAAATGTACTTTTGTGTTAAATCTGGGACTGTTGAACACACCCGGAGTTACAACTATGCCACGATGTACACAAAAACAGTTAATTGATGTTGTTATTTCTTTTTAATAGATACAACACTCAATCATTATCAATAGTGACTCACGAGAAACATTTTTCAGCCACATTGCCCAGCCCTACGAAGCACATAATGTCAAAAAATGTATTTAATCTTTCAGTCAGATTGGCCAGATCTCCAACCGTTACCAGGTTGACAATGAAGAAGAATGGACGCCACCTGAGCCGAAGCCACTCCCCAGTGTCTCAGCTGCAAGTAAGAAGAGACCCTCCAAACCCAAAGTGCCTAAAAGCGAGGATGCCAAGAGGGGCACAAAACCCCCCAAAGCTGGGCTGAAGCGGCAAAAGCCCGAAAGTAACGCAAATGCACAGGCTGGAGATGTTCAATCACGATCGACACAGGCAGGACCAAGCATCAGAACAAAAGAGGAGGTACGAGCAAACTGAAAAGAGGCTGTTTTGTTCAGTTGCTCATTGTAACTCTGCTTTCCAATGCAGAGGATGTCACTTGCCGTCTCAAAGTCAGAACCGGGCGTGCAGGAAGGCCTGTCATTTGCCGGCCTGACCGCAAAGAAAGAAGAAGAAGACGACGACGATGATGAGAACTTCACCTTTGATGAGCCTCCGCTGAAGAAGCAGAAGACAGGCTGCCGATCGGCTCGCCAGTCCAAACAATCGCAATTGGTGGTGAAAGGGGAACTCAACATGAACTGGGACCCGATTGAGGTATTTTGCTTCGGTGTGCTTTTTGTTTTCAGAAATCGACAAGAAAACGCAAGACTTGTTTGTTTTACTTTCAATTTCGAAAAATACCACTTTAGAATAGCCTGTTTTTCCTTCAAAGTAATTACTTAGAGAAAGATAACTGCCAATAACGGAAATACTCATATCAGTGAAATCGATTTTCAAAAGGAAAACGTGATTGATTATATAAAAATGACCCATACGCAAGCTATGAAGAGTCGATTTGTCATTTTTTTTCTGTGCTGTAACATGTTGAAGTGCACCAACACATCATGACATGGAGGTGTGTCCGCTCAGGTGCTGTCCACGCTGTCGTGCGTGGAGCGTTGGGTGTGCGCTAACGTCGTCACGCTGCTGCGCGAGGAGAACACGGTGCCCTTCATGGTGCGCTACCGCAAGGACATGATCAATCACATGGACGCAGACGCCGTGCGTGACGTCCAGCTGGTGTACGAAGAGCTTTGGTGAGCAGCGCGAACGTGGTTCTCCAAGGCTGAGCGTCCACGTCCCTCGTTCGTCCTTTTTCAGAATCTCTTTTGAAGAACAAGTTTCAAACTGAACTCATGACGTCGGATGGCCGTAAATCGGCGTGGCATTTACATGTTAAATTAAATTTGCTGCCAAATATGGTTAAACCGTTTCAAAATCTATCTTGTAAATTTGTTTTTTATGATGTTGCCAACTTGTTGACAACCAAGTAAATTTAATTGGGGCAATCTTCAAAACCTCTTGCTGATACAATCATCTATGTAGGCTGCATATTATATGTTTGGCTCTAGGTGGCGCCAAATAACCATCTTTTAAAGTAATATCATTTTGAGAATTCACAGCAACCAAAAAAAGCGCACGCAAAAAAAGACAATATAAAAGAGTCAACAAAAAAGTAGAATGTGTACAAAGTTAGCATTGATGCATTAAGGTACTTTATGATTTCTTTTTATTTTACTAGCGTAGAGTTCAGTCGTGGTTGGTATGACATATCCTCTTAAATCTCGTTTCTGGTCTTGACATTGATTGCCTGATATCAAGGTTCACATTGGGTAAACAGGAACACCTGCAAACTAGTAGCGGTATGATTCTTTGCCAAACAAACAAAAATCAAGTGCCAAAACCGAAAAGGCCATGTCACCGCTGTTCAAGGATCCTTTCTTTTCACTGCCAAAAATTCAGTAAATAAACATTAGATATTGAATAACGTATACAAGTTTAGATCTTTAGTTTATAAGTCCAACCCAAATTATTTCTCATTTTTAGGAGATGATGTTGAAAAGTGCATTGATGTACCAACAAAAGCATGTCGCTGGCCATGACACTAGCGAGCCAGAGACAGGACTGCACTCGATTTGTTTTCGTGAAAAATATGAAGACGGTGCCTGTACCACTGCACCCGTGCTAGACACACAATTACAGTTGTGAGCTTCATGGCTACGTTGTTTGTTAAAATAGTCAGAATTCATGTTGCCTAACGTCTCTCTTGTTGTAGCGGCTTGGCAAAGAAGACCCAGTCTGTCATTACCACCCTGAAAAAAGACGGCGTTTTGACTACTGAACTTGAAAAAAGTCTGAGGAGCTGCCGGTCCGCCGATGAATTGGATCACGTGGTCAGAATATCATTTCTAAGGACTCACAAAAAAAAAAAAAAAAAAAAGGACCCGGTGGGAAAATTATTTTTTAAAGGGCCCAAAAAAAAAAAAAAAAAAAAAAAAAGATCCAAACAGTTAAACTTTCTTGTCTTTGCAGTATACTCCTTACAAGAAAGGATGCAAGGTGACCAAAGTGCGCAAGGCCAAAGCGCTGGGCCTCGAGGCCGCTGCCGCTGCCCTGATCGAGGCGCCGCACATGCTGGATTTCAGGACATGGGTTAAACCTGAAACAGACGGTACGACACACACCCATACCACATATATAAGTAACTGATAAATGAGTCATGTTTATTTTTCGACAAATGAATCGCCTCTTGGGGGTCTTGAAATTTTTGGCGAGCGCATATCATGGAGAAAATGAGCGGTTTAGGCATCGTGAACACAAAGCAAATCTAACTCACCACCTGGATATGAGGGACAAATGAATCCCTGACGCCACGTTCACTGATGGACACAAAACCAATGAAACTGAAAGTCACGTTGGCTTGCCTGTTTTGCACCAGGTCTCTCGTCTGTTGAAGAGGTGTCAACAGGCGTGCTCCATATTCTGGCCTACACCATCGCCAAAGACCCCGAAACGCTCACCTATGTGAAAACATTGTGAGAGCACGCATGCACACGCACACGCACGCGCACGCCCTCATCTTTGTTTTTTAAATATCGCTCTGCACGTGTAGGTGTGAGAATGACGACGTGAGCCTCCACTCGTCGGTGACCAGGACTGCCCTCAAGGAGAAAGAAGAGAAGTCGAAGTCGAGCGACAAGAAGCCGGCGTCTCAGAAAAACAAAAAGCAGGATGTTGACAAGTTCCACCTCTACTTCGACTTCACCAGCACGGTCCGGCGCGTCCAGCCTCATCAGGTATGTCATAAAGTCTTCATTCTGACGATACACGTTGGTGACGTGAGGGTACAATTTGAATTTGCTCTGCAACCACGCTCTCGGCCGTCGTTTTCCAAGTCATCTTTCGCCATTCAAATGAGTGGAAATGCCAGAATTCCTTTCCATGCTCCCGCCGCCAAAAACCTTTGCATACTTTTTAAGAAGAAGAAAAAGCTCTCGAATATTGTTCTTTGTTTGAATATGAGGAACTAAGCAGTTTGGCCATCACGATTTAATGCCGCAATTCAATTCATTGTGCTGCCCCACCTTGGCCACCGGGAGGAAGTGTAATAATCATGCAGACGCACTCGAAGAAAAAAATACGACTACATTCTACTACGATTGTAAGTGACTCAGTAGGACGCTGTAATACTAGTCACGTTTTTTTGTCAAGGATAAAGAATTTATGCCTGTTATTAGATTTGCCTGCATGTGTTGCCCCACTGTTTGTCTTCAAATAGCTGGGGCTTTTTAAAATGCAAATATGGATGCCAACCTTTAGCGTGTGAATAGTGTTTTGCATTGTTTGTTAGCATGAATCGAAGTGGGCGATGTGGTTGTTTTAAATACACAGTGTAATTCTTTGTTTTATGTTTAGTTTGACAGCAAATTTCAACTGAGAGAGGTAAACGGCTCTCTCAAGGCGCCACTGTCTCGTTACATACGGTCGACAGAAACAAAAGGGGTCATGTTGGCTGGAAAAATATGGTTCAAAAGCATCATAAAACTTGAAGCCCAAATCATCTTCATTCGTGATCTTCGGTGACACTTGAGGAAATCGCTTGAAACATCAACTCACTGAGCATCTGAAAGATGACCTCCCCAGGTGTCTTTTTGTTGACTTTTTTTTTTTTGGTGATGCCGCTTCAGCAGACGACGACACAAAGTGCGATAACCGGAGATGTCGAAGTGCTACAAGTGTCAATCCAAACGGAGCCTTGTTCATTTTAATCAAGGCTCCGATTAGATTGGAGGCGGAGAAAGTCTTTGGACTTTTTTCCTCACAGACACCCGCAGCAACACATGCCATCTGTTCGTGCCGCGTGCGTGCCACTGCCGAACACGAAGCCACGTCAGTCGCGGTTAGCCTCATTACCCCCTCTGTGCCACCCAACCCCGATGCCCCGCCACCCCCCAGTGACTGGTGGGTTACTCAGAGTTGGTCTCGGGCTTCATATGTCACCGCGGCTCCCGTCAGTCGCTCCCGCCTCTGTGCCGCACCAACACTCCCTGGCAAGCGGGCTCTGCCCTACGGTCTTCAAATAACACACACACACACGTGCGCACGCGCGCGCACACACATCCAGCAAGTCCCCCTCGTTCTCTCCTCTTAACATATGTGACATGTCCCCCGTCGACATGCCATTGGATTAGAGCGCCTGACTGACAGGCGTTCTCCAGCCCTGACAGCTCTTGCTGCCCCGAGCGCCAGAAAAGAGAAGGAAGGAAGGAAGGATGGGAGGGAAGAAAGGAAAGGAGGAAGAGAGCACAGATGGAGGGGTGTTCGTCACTTATCTCCCCCCCACCCTCAGCCCACTTAATTCGATGACTCGCTTTTGTCACAGAGCGTTAATCCACAGTGACCCTGCTAGCTGTCGGACTGCGGCTAAAATGAACCTTTTCTTGTCGTCAAGTCGGCGTGGTGGTGGTGGTGGTGGGGAGGGGAGAGCAGGTGGGAGACGGGAGATGTGTGTGCGCGCGTGTGAGAGCGCAAGCTTGCTCGTTTGCGTCGTCACATTTTGGTGCGAGTCCATCGCCTCCACCTTTTTGGAGGGAAAGATTGGGGCGCTTTCAGATTGGCAGCGATTCGTAGAATATTGCATTTGCTCTTGTAATATTTGCTCCTTAATAAACACAATTTTAAAGTGCAATTCATTGAGATATCGGTGACATATGGCATGTGCATTTGGATATTTTAAACATTACTTTTATGACATCATCATTTTCTCTGATTCGCTCTGCTTGATCGTTTGGTCAATGACTTGATTTTGTTTTACGACTCAACTCACGGCTCAATTTCCCTGTCTCTCAAATTCATTTTCCCCATTGAAATGAATTGAACTGCCTTCCAACACCCCCAAAATGCCTCATTTCTTTGTGGCGTGTTTTAAAATGAGAAAAATATCACAGTATTTTATTGATGCATTTATTTTAACGCAGACTCCCCAACCTGTCCATGGGTTTTTTTGGTACCGGAGTCGTAACTGCTCAAAAATTGTCATAACATTGTGAGAAAAAGTTTTGACATTACCAAAAAAGTCAATCATAATACGACTCTAGATTTGTAATTTTGTGAGACTTTATGGAAAACAAAACAAAACAAAACAAAACAAAACAGTATGACGAGAGTACAATGAGGATTTGGTGGGAGCAAAAAGAATGCCACCACCGGTGACTCCCACTTGAAGACTGATTGATTGAACAGTTTGCTAATCGAATCAATATCAGTCTGTGTAGAACTCCGGCAAGCACCCAGAGTGTCTGGAAACATCGTTCTTTTGAGCGAGCTGGGACTTAATCCCATCCGATTTGATTTTCAGGCCTTCTCGTGAAGAGTACGCCTTTAGCTCATGGCTATTAACCAGCCGGCGTACGCCAGGACGGATTTGCGGGCTGCCATGCCACTTGCTCTGCGATCAATCGGCAGCTAAGCGCAGCAGTCAGGGGCTGGCCTGCAGAGGGGTCGCCCTAAATGGAGCTGCTTCGTCAATTCAACACCCCGCTTTGATGGACAGGTGGAGCAAGTTTCTTTTGTCCGTCACATACCAGAGGCACTTACCCTTGGCTCCTTGCGGGTTTAATTACGTGTCAATTCCACCAACAATTCGTCCTTTGCTTCTCCGTGTTTCTTTCAGGTCGCTAACCGACATCTCGGCTTGGAACAAAAATGTTTTGTTTTCTGCTCTTTTCTGTTTGTTTCCAAAATAGCAGCACCGTATTTAATTGGCTGATATTAGTTGTTGGATTCCTTGCAGCTTTAATTTTTTTTTTTCTTACGGTAACATGCGAATGAGACCCCAAAAAAGGCATTCAACAAAAAACCGAATACAAATTGGGGGGGCTAATTTTTTTCTCTCTGTTGTAAAGGTGTCCAGCTGTCCAAGATGAAAGAAGCTGGGTTTGACATCCGAATAGATCTAAGTTGTAAGAACACGCCCTTTGACTTTATTGACCTTAAATTCCGGATAAACTGAACGCGAGAGCATTTGGAAACAGCTTTGTGTCCCAGTTGTGTCATTCAAGTCAACGTGTGCCTCTGCACGGTGTGGATGGATGTGTTGATGACGGTATTCCTCTTAAGAAAGACGGAGAGAGACAAGGAGACAGCTAGCGAGAGGACAGCGGTTGGCCGGCTGCCCTCCCCTGCGGCCGGGTTTCCGCTGCCGGATGGGCGAGGACGGCGGTCCGTCTGTCTTCTCTCGTCAGGCGTTGGCCGCTATCTCGCTACCTGTCACTCCCGGCCCGACTTAATGCGCAAATACACTCTTCTCGCTCTGTCTCGCATCACCCTTCCTCTCGGATCGCCCGCCGTCTCCGGCAAGTGACCCAAGCCGGGGAGAAAGTGAGGAACATGCATGCTCGGCTATGAAGCGTGGCATCGTTGTGGGGCCACCTACTTGTAGCCAACGGGCATACATGAATGTACGACACACGGGCTGAGCACGTGTTGAACATCAGAGCCCTTCTGCAGAGCGCGGGCTTTGCGAGTCACCGGGACGCCTCCACATCCCATCCGCATGTGCGCCATAACAGAGGAACGTAGAGATCGGATCCTGTATTGCGAAAGCAATGTGCTTCATTAGTTCTCTAGTTTGAGTTATCTTTTTATTTACAAATAGTTCAAGAGAGACCGCTATCCAAAGGGAGTTCCAAAGTTTCATCAACTCCAAACTAACTTGAATAAATGAGACAATGACTCTAGGCTGGTTAGGTTCTCAGCACTTGGCTGAAAGAAATTATTCACAAGGGGTAGGTCACTGAAAAAAAGGTTAGGGTGAGAACCGCTGTGCTAGGCCACGGAGGCGCCAAGAAAAATCCACGTCCAAACCAACCCGAGACTCAAGGGTGAGGTGGCGCTCTGCCTCCACCGTATGATGAACTGATTGGTTAGGTCAGCGAAGTGGAACAGCAAAAACACACATCGCAGAAATCTGAAGTGGAAAATCAAGAAACTACTCTATCCTTGTCATCTAAACGTCAAGTTTGCCAAAGTGGTGGGAAACCAGCAATGACATTTGCTGTGTCACTACTTGATAGCCCGGGTCACCCAAAATGACCGTTCCGTATCCACCTTGGATTTCTTCAAGGTCTCGGAGGGCCCCCTGTGTTCCAACGAAAACGTCAGTCCGGCAGACATTCTCGTTTGGGTCCAGTTTCCAGATCTTTTTTTTTATTTTTATCAAAGAACCGTGCACAGATTTAGCCTAGGCTATGTTCGTTTAACTACTTGAACCTCTCGGGCTTTTGCAGATGTTGGGCGTCTGTCGGGAGGTGTGCGATTTGATGAATATCACTTGAGAAATGTCATCGCAGTCAGGGCGGCGGCCCGCAGCGAAAACATGCCATTCGGGAAGAAATCTAAATTTCACCCTAATTCGAGCAAGCTCGCCCCTGACATGCCATTAGCTGTGTTTTTCATGTTGCCGTTGTCGCTTTTGTGCGAGGGTGCCGCTGAGCTCCAACGGTTGTGGCACGGCGCGTGCGTGCGTGCGCGGGTGGCGGGGGCAGGCCTGGCGGTCCTCGCCGCTGACGGTGGCACAGCGGTGGCATTTGTCAGCTCGCCTTTTCCACTTGGGCTCCAGATTGACGTCTCGTTTCTCGTGCCGTGCGCTGCGGCGGGCTAAAGGTTCCCCGCTGAAAAGGTCAGACACTTACTACTGTTTGCTTAACAGCATGTAACAGTTCTTCTGAAGGGGCAAGGAAGGAAGGGAGGGTGGGGGGTGTCGTCAAAAACACAGCACAACAGGCCTGGCCACAGGACACACTCGGAGGCTCATCACTCAATTGTGTGCATGAAGAGTATGCAGTATTTTAGTTTTCCGTGGCTGTTTCTTTAATTTAATTACCTCAGCCAAGGAGTTGGATACCCTATTGAAAATCGGCCTCCTTCTGAGGAAGATGCCGGGTGGCAGAATACTTCAAACAGCAGCAATAATGATGTCATAAAAATGTCAATTGGAAAATTGCATTTTCAACAGCTTTCAGGGTCTGTTGAGATCTTTTTTTCTTTTTTTTTTTAAAATCCCACTGTATTACGGAAGCCAATATAATTCATTTAGAAAAAAAACTATTCAAGTTCTCACAGCCTATCACGTTGCACTAACAACATCTTCTTTGATGTGCTGCACAGACGTTGGCCATCAACCGTGGGGAGAGTCTGAAAATTTTGACAGTCAAGGTGAACATCCCCGAGCGGGTCAAGCAAAACTTCATGCGGTGGTGCATCAACAACAGGTCACAGCACATATAGAGATGAGCAAAGACGCGCGCGCTATCGTGTGTATGATAAACCGACGTTTTGTTCCATGGCAGGTGGAAGCCAAAGACGTACGCTCGGGAGGAGCATCAAGCCCTCATCAAGGATTCAGTCGAGGACTCATACAAAAGGCTCATTGTGCCTTTTCTCAGCAGAACGTACAGGTTTGCCAAACTCTTTTCATTTTAGCCTCACCCTCGATTCCAGTCTTATTTTCCCGTCTCCCCGTTTTTAGAACAAACCTTACCAAAGCAGCCGAGAAGGAATCGGTCGCCATGTTTGTGCGAAACCTCCGCCAGCGCTTGTTGGTGTGTCCGGTCCGGGGCTGCGCCATGATGGGGGTGGACCCCGGCTTCCGACATGGTTGCAAGCTGGCAATCCTCTCCCCAACCGGTGAGAGAGAGCATGAAATGGGGACCATCATGAAAAAAAAAAGACTCACACACGCCCACCGAGCAATTGAGCAATGGAAATTGATAACATTTTTCTTCTCAAATCCTCAAAATGAGCATCAAACTTCGCCGGCATGCCCCAGACACTTTAAATGACGTTGGCAAAAAAATCCTCAGAAAAATAAATGCCTCACCATAAATAACACACTTCAGTACTCAGATGGCTTTTTTGTCGGTGAAAAATAAATGCCTTACTTCTAATAAAAGCTCTCCTCTAACTCATTTTTTGTCAGCGGAAAATTAATTGACCTTTTCTAAATGCTTGGTGCTCTCTTTTTTTTTTTTTTTTGTCTGTGAAAAATAAATGCCTTGCCCTTAATATTGTCTGACAGCAGGTAAAACACTGAATGCTGGGAACCAATGTTTGCATTTTTTTTTTTTTGACATTTTAAAATGACATGCACTGGCAAATGACACATGTGCATGTGGATGAATGCATTCTGATGGACGAATATTGGGTCATCGAGAGCAAACGTGTCGAGTTTTGTCTCACGCTTGTTCCCAGGTCAAATCCTCCACACGGATGTCGTCTACCTGCACGGCTTCCGCAATGATAGGGAAGCGGAAAAGCTGCGACAACTTATGCTGAAATACAAGTACTTCCACAGTTTACACACGCTCCGGGATTGCTTGTAAGATATTTGTCCCAATGTAATTGTGTGGATTGCTCACTCTCGTCCACTTGTCAACACCAGCTGCAGCAGGGTCGTCATCGGCAATGGGACGGCATGTCGTGAGACGGAGGCCTTCTTCGCTGACCTCATCGCCAAGCACTACTTTCACCCGCTGGATGTGTCCTACTGGTAAGATCGCACATCCAAGCGCCACAAATGGAGTTCGGTCACCCGGCAGGCGGAAAAGTGTCAGCCGTTTTTGAGGTTTTTCCTTCCACCCGTCCACCATCTGATATTGTTTGAATTGTCAAGCTCATTATCTTTTACATGAATGAGTGGCTATTTTCTAAAGCCTTCTCGGTGTGACGCAGTGCAGAATTTCCAACTGCCAAACATAAAAAGCAGCTCTCTGACAGTGTCAATCAAAGGTCAGAAGTGTACCTATCGTTGTGAGTCCTGAAAATGAAAAGTTAGAGTGAAGAGGAACGCTTGAGTGATGAGGAATGTCGAACTAAAACAAGAGATGGAGGTGAAAGAGAGAGAGGGGCGGAGGCGCACTGATAATGGTGAATATTATCTATTAAAGCCATCTGGACTTTGTTTCACTTTGGGCCAATTAAGGGGACGCTTTGCAGTGCACGTTGTGTCTGTAACCGGGTCCGGTGCACACTTGGGCGTACAACGCGGCGGGAGCCGGCTCCAAACATAACACGCGAGCGACCTCGCCGCAGTTCTGTTTGTTGACTCGAGGCTCGCGTCGGGACCGCAGCCGAGAACCACGTCAGCGGGATCGCGTATCATCCCGAGTTCAACACCTTTGCTCTAATAGCCCACGTTTTCCATCTTCTTTCAAAGGTGGCTTTTCTTTCGCTTCTCAAGAGCAGACGCGGCACACGCGAGGCCTTATGACATTAGCAGGATGGTTCGTCGGTCGAGTCGCTGCGGCTAGAATGTCTCTCTTGTTCATTCGTTCAATGGGATGACGTGAAAAGGCCCAAAAGAGACGTTGAGCAAATTTCTGACGTAGTTCTGGCTTGATTATGGATACGAATGACTCCATATTCACATTTTTACACCACTTGTATGGCATATTAAACATCTGCAAGCTTATACGACCATTCATTACATTGCATCGCTTTGAATTATCCATACATCCTCACACACACATACATAATCTCAAGTACACACTCTGAATTTTTCTCGTTACGCGCCTAAAATTTCATCTGAGGGGCACCTCGTAAAACCAAGGTAGCCTGGAGCCCTGAAATTGGTGATCCTCTGCCTCTCACCCAAAGTATACTGTTGTCGTGCAGTAGATAGCTCCCTGCATCTATTGGAAATAAATCCTCCTGGCCACCATATGAAGAGATATGACCTGCTCTTATTTCTTGCCAAATGGCACCTTTCCATTCATTGCATTATTTCACATTTGTTTGTTAAACACAACTACATTCCTCGCCTCTCTATTAATTAGGTTGATTGCATCTTAACATTACACGATTTGACTTGAACAAGTTCCTGTGGCGTGAACGCCCCCCCCCCCTCCCACAGGGCATGATACGGCGTGGGGTATCATCGTTCTGACAAGGTCTGTCTGTGCCTGCGATGAGGGTTGAAGGGGGCGGGGGGTCTTTCTGAATCTTTGTTCGGTCATGTTTATTGGTAATGGATGCAAACACTTAGTGTAAGGTGTTCCGTCCTGCTCCATCAGTACTTACTTAGAAATTCTGTCATGAAAACTCCAGCTAATTGCAGTCGTGTTTGGATTTCCTCTTATGCACACATTACCAAATAATTAGACAAGTACAGAATAGGCTCGGCCAAGAGTCTGTTCCTCAAAAATGCTGTGTAAATTGTATGAATGGGGATCAGGTTTTTAATTTATTCTTGGTATCATATCCTTTTTTTTTCTTCCAACTGTGAAAGGAAAATGGGGTCAAACTCGACAATCGCTTTCCCACTTTTGTGGGACGGTCATTCAGCTGCAGCTGCAGTTTTCTTTCCGCTGCACCGAATGGACTTGGTCAATCGCGTGCGATTGTCCCATGCACCAAGAATGACAAGTTGACAAGCTGGTTCTAATGATATCAGAGGGCAAGATTATCAGGTGGGGCGGGTGTTGGGGGGCTGCATAGGTTGGAAAGCTCTTTGGGCAACGGTGATGATACACACATTGCACACAAACACGAGAGCTTCTGGCCGATAACAATGACTCATTTCTTGACCCCTTGCTTTGTCACCGCTGGGAGGCAATTGAGCCTTTTAAATGATCCGTGCTCTTTGGAAATAAATGTGGACATATCTAACAATCGGGCAAATCATTGGACGTGCTTTGGTTTTGAATCTCAGCTGATCCCACTCATCTGTCTTTGACCCACTCTGATGTTTTGTAGATTGGTTATGCCGGACTCGACTGGGCCTGGTAGTCATGCCTTTGCCCAAGTCGTGCCCTGCTTTCAAAAGTGGCAGACTATCTCTCTTTCAAGTAGTAGTCATCATTCTCCCCTTGATTGGCTCTCTTGTCCCAGAGCGATAAGCGGATGTCTTGACGATACGCCCTTGACCGCGTTACATCCCCTCCCCGCAGCGCACTCCCGGTGGGATGAGATCATTTTGACTGGCTGGCGGGGCAGCGACAGCACGACCGTATTCATGACCGCGCGTATCCTCTGTCAAGTCCCGCGTCCGGGCTCGCGACCAGGGGCCGGGTCGAGTGAGTGATGAACATAGAGTGGCAGCACCCAGTGTGCACTGTGCCCCCATCCAGGCTCGCCGGGCCCCAGAGAGCGCCGCCACAAGATGAGTTGGAGAGGCTGGAATTGATTTCACGTCGCGTGAGGAGAAGGCCTAAATGGGGCACGCTCAGAGGTCATGTCACTACATTTGAAGGAAGCGAGTGCCAAAACAACTTAACTGCCTCAAAAATAATTGAACTAAATTGTTGACCCACCAGGCGGCACCGTGGACGACTGCTTAGCACGTCGGCGCCACAGTGCAGAGGTGCAGGGTTCGATTCCGGCTCCGGCCTTCCTGTGTGGAGTGCGCATGTTCTCCCCGTGCCTGCGTTTGTGGAGGTTGGGAGCTTGGGGGTGGTTACTACGGTTTACGTGTGATTGTGAGAGCGCAAATGGTTGTTGGTCTATGCATGCCCTGCGATTGGCTGGGAACCGGTTCAGGGTGTTCCCCGCCTACCCCGCGACCCTCGTGAGGATAAGCAGCTTGGAAAATGGACCCCTTGCCCTCATTCTTTAGCTGCCGTGCTTCAGTCTGATGATATCAGCGGTGCAGCAGAAGTTTGTTCCTTCTGCGTGTGCCCCCTTTTTGTGTCGCAGGGCCTCATTTGATTTTTCATCATGCACCCTTTTCCAATTGCAACGCGGATTGTCCCATCGTGCCTCACTGGTGGTCAACTTGTGGCCCCGCCCATTTCCTTCAAGGCCCTGCTGCTCATGTGCCAAGTCCCGGTGACATGCCGGATGTATATTTGGGCGTGTGTAAGATGGGCCTTTGCTGCAGAGCGATTGACATGAGTGTCTGTGAGGCTTTGCTCTTTTCCGAAGTGCCTCCCACTGGCGGAGTGCGCGTGCGCGCGTCCCTCGCCGCCTGCCTCCTAGCTTCTTTGCTGGAGACTGACAGCCCTTGACACCTGCCATTTTGGACGCTTTTCTCTGCGAAAAATGTCACCGTCTTCAAAGCCGACATGTATGTATTTGTGCGTGTGAGCGAGAAAGAAGACATCGCTCAAATGCGTGCGCCGGAGGTGACGCTTTGCAGCTGACTGAGCAATGAAAGCGAGCTGTTTGAGCAGCCGGGACGGCAACTTGCCTGTGTGTGTTTGTTTGTGTGTTCTTTACGCGGAGATATTTTGGAGTGTTAATTTGTGAGCTCAAAGCTCCTGCGAGGCTTTAACTTGATGTCAGGCCAAGTCACAGGACCTTGTCAGTCAGCTCGAAAGAGAGCCATTTCGGTGTCCTGCCCATTCCCATTTTGAGATTTCCATTCATCGCCCACCTTTGTGTCACTTTGTGTTTCATTCTGTCCAGCAAAGAGTGCTCCGCGTTTCAATTTCTCCGATTTTTTTTTCTTTCTTTCTTTTAGGTGCACGTGTATTTTAATTTGAGAGATTTTTTGAAATTATTACAATAATCATTTCGGTTTTTAGTTTTTCTTTGAGCTTTTTTTATATTTTAAGTACAGCGCAATTGTCGTTTAATTTGTAAACACAATATATTTGCATCCAATCAGTTATATAAATACACGAATGTTTGCTTTTAGTTTTTTTTCCCTGTATTTAAGCATGTTACAGCTGCAAAAACATGCAGTGTACTTGTTCAAAAAAAAAACAACTGAAAGCTGGACCATTAGGGTGGTACTTGGAGAGCCAAGTATTTTCGAGGGCTTGTCAAAAGTTTGAGAACCGCTTATTTAGAGGTTTGTTAAACGCATCACCGTAGGAAAATACATTTCAGGTTCCGACCTAATTACTATATTTTTAAAAAAAATTTAATCGCATTATTCCAGTTTTTGGAGATAATGAATTTGCGTTTTTTGTTTGTTCTAATGCAGGCATGTCCAGCTGCGGGCCTGGAGGGCCACCGTCCTGCCTCTTTTCCATCTCTCACTGATTCAGCTGATCAGCTCTGAAGCAGCATTAGAACGATCCTGATGATTTGAATCAGGTGCGTTGCTCCTGGGAGAGCTGGAAAACAGGCAGGACAGTGGCCCGCGAGGACCGACTTGGGACACCCCTGCTCGAACGTATAAAAACGATCAAAAATGAAATGGTGAATCTATAGAATATGAGCTTCCCTTTTTGAATCGAACTACTGCTGAAATTGACGTGATTGGAGACTTGTGAAAATGCTGAGACTTCCTCCGGAGCAGATGTGTGCATCCTTTTACGTTCACGGGCCACGTATTACCTTGCTCTTTCCCAAGATTGAATTGCATTTCAAGCACTTCATCACCGAGCCGCTGACTTTTTCAAATGTAGTGTATAGCGGCTCTGTGCATGTGGCGCATGCAGCCGACACATGGCCAAACTCCTAATGCCGACAACACATTGGACAGTAACTTAAGTGACATGTGTGGGTATCCCCAGCCCCCCCTTTCCCAAGATTGAATTGCATTTCAAGCACTTCATAACCGAGCCGCTGACTTTTTCAAATGTAGTGTATATGTAGTGTACATGGCCAAACCCCTAATGCCGACAACACATTGGACAGCAACTTAAGTGACATGTGTGGGTATCCCCCACTCCCCCTCCTTCTCGTCAACTTTTTGTCTTCTGTATCAGATGAGTTGGTGATATTATTGCCCCCTCGTCTTTTCCTACCGATCTGATGGGCTGTTTGTCATTTCCTGACAGGCTGTGTGTCTGTGTG